TACTCCATCAAAAATACGAATTCAATGAAAAATTTACCTATTCTTATGCGACATTAACAAAAAATACACATGTATATATGGTAAATGCAATGAATAAATGAATGAATTACAGCATGTTATTCGGTCATTTTTGATATTATAAATGATCAGATAAAAATGAACCCTTGGTCTTGTATCAACTAGAAATACAGGAGAACATGATGGATTTGTTTTCGCAATTAAATCCATTAACTGCTCGTCTTCAACGCAACGAGCACTAAAACCAGTTAGCGGTTGAGCACACCTAAATGAAGCCAACACAATAATGATTACTTTTACCATATAATAATAGAGTTCTGCATTCCTCTTTATCATAAAATCACTGAATAAAACTGAAATACGGTTGAATTTTGGAAAAGTTTTTGCTGAAAATATTATAAAACAAAACACGAATTTAATAGGGACTTAAAAATACAGGAAAGAAATGTAAAAAACGAGTCAAAATGTGACTTTATATCATTCATCGCGAGAGAAAGTGAAAATAATGGTACTCGTAAGAATAAAAGACAAATAATTTAAAATTTCCAATGAAAAACATCGAAAATGCCCTAGAAAATCATCAACCTGACAATGGATGCACCATTTGTACGATGCCAGTACGTCAATACAGGCAATCTTGCACGACTTCGAAATTTGCATGATCCGATGAGTATTTGTTTACTTGCTGCACTCGGTATACAAATCCATTCCGGGTACGTATCACAATACTAGAATTCACTGCATTATCTTAATTGAGATCCACATCAACGCTATTACTTTTGGTGCTAATGGTAGCATATGCATACGGTAACTTCAACAACAATAGTCGTGTGAAATATCCAATGAATAAACATCGCAAAAAAAACCAATAAAATGAAATGAAACCTGATAATTTGCATTGAAATCATTGATTTTCCATGTCTGTTTATCAGCCACACCAATACCCTGTCTTGCAAATTCAATGTGCCAGTCGAAACGATCCCATCCTCGACGTTTATCACCCACTTTATGATCAACGCCACGTTCACGATTTTCGAATGCGAATACCTCGTTGATATTCACTATAGTATTCATCAAAACAATTCATATCAATAATGACAGCACTAATAATAATAATAACAAACATAACAATGCAACTGAAAACATACTGANTTGCTGACAATCTTTATCTCTCGATATCAGAATCGTAAGCGTCAAGAAATGTTTACAACGAATTGTTAACGGACTGCCTAATGCCGATAACGGTCCTCTTTCAACTACACCAATTAAACCATTCGGTATCTTGAAATCACTACGTCAAAGTTCATCATATTTTATATCGCTCTTACTAAATTTATATCATTAATCCAATGAACTTTCTAACTTTATTGTACTCTCTGTCAATGTGAGTCAAATTCATCAATCATTTCTATCGAAATCATCATTCGATGGAATCATCAATTCTATCGAAAGCATCAATTTTGAGACTGGTCCTTCCGTATGTATTCAATAATAGCACGGAGGGCAAAATAGCACGCAACATAATCAATAAAACAAATAATACAAAGTTATAATGAGAACGCGAAAGATAATAAAATTTAATTCAAAGCAGGACACGATGAAATAATTAAAAGGATACCAATTCTACCTAATCTAAAAATTAAACAATATAAACGAATTACAAAATTCACCCATATCTCTTTGGCTGTATCATCAGCTTTGAAGATAACATGCGATGTTGTCACATGGATTGTTCCAACGATGTTCGGCTCTGATCCTAAGCGATCAATCAGCTGCACTTTACTAACCTAAAATATCATTTGATTGCTTGACATAAAATCAACGACCTAATATCCTTGATATGAAATCTTTAACCTATTCATTTAAGAACTCTTCATCGGATAATCTTTTTTTCAAATCATAAGTTGATTTCATTTCCTACTGATTATTCGTCATAAATCAAACCAATTCACCTCACTGATCAAACCATAATTCAATCACTCTTTTTCTCTTCATATTTATGAAAATTAGCATCTTCATAGAACAATTTCAATTCAAGTCATTAATATCAAATTGTGAGGAGAGAATGATTAATAAACTTGAATTATATCAGCAGAGGATTTCATTATTCACTACTGAACTACTGAGGTTGTTACATAACGATCTCATATCAATAACGATCTATTGAATGTGTGGGTATACCGTTGTCATTATTAATAACATCATTATCACCTTGTCCAGAGCACACCTTTGAAATGAGTCCAGGAAAGAGTCGAATGTCATTCGGATCAAATGGCTCACGTCCAAACATTGATTCATAGATAGTCGAGAAACGATCGACAACCAATGCACTAGTCACTCTGATATCTTCCGTATATGCAGGGAATTGCAAATATGTCATCACACATAAAACTTATTCAATACTAATTGTTAGTGATTATCGTAAGAATGTATGCACACTTGAGCGTTAGCACTTGAAGCACATTACATTCAGCAATATGGATTAATGTTCATCACCATACTACCCAGCGACACCTTATCCAAGCACTTCATGCACTCGGGCGGATAACCGAACGAAAATTTTATTCGGTTACATTCCATTTCGGAAATTCCAACATTCAGCTTTCTCACTAAAATTCAAAAATTCTCGTCCGGAATCCCACCAGATGCATTTTTGGATTTTTCTTCCTAAATCGATCGGAATGGATTCATTTGGATTCTTCCGAAATTCAGTTTTATTAAAACTATTTGAAATCCATCGATCGGAATCACACTAAAAAATTCCGCTAATTACTGATGTTAGGTAATAAACAAGAAATTGTTCAAAGCAAAAATTCGGTCGAAATCGACCGGTTACCCTCTTCACAACCTAGAATGACTAGCAAAATGTTTGTGTACTTTCACCATCCTCCCCTCCTACTCTACCTTCCTATATACGTCAACTCACCCTTAATATCTGCATTTCTTAATTAAAACGCCGCAATATATACAGTAAACGATATTCACATTCCATCGAACATCGCTAAAATAAAACCTCCCATTTTGTTCCAACAATTTTCTCATTATTCCATTCCATCTCATAAACTATTCATTCATTCATTAAAAATTCCCATTGCCATTCCAACAACCATCCGCACCAAACTTTCTTATCCATCCTACTTTACGGCAAAATACCTCCAAAATAAGCCCCTAATCCTGCGATATATTGGAATCGATAAATCTATCTTCAAAATTCTCTTCATTTTAACAAAGATATATTACATAAATATATGTGCAATACACACATTTCTTGGACGAAGAATGACGGGATGAATAATTCAGAATGAGCGCGATTTAATGCATTCGAAACGGAAACCATAAACGCGACAAAAATAGAACAACAATATATTTAAAGGACAATAATCATCTGCTTCCGATAAATTCAGTCCAAGCCGTGATTAACTTTCAATCACAGCGCCATTTACACTTGAAGTCTTTCTCTTTTCTATTCAGTCATTTACAATTTAGTCTCGTAATGTGGTTTTGGCTGATACGGACAAGACACAAACGAGACAACACTGTTTTTTACGCCAGCTTTAACTTTTTACACTAAAATAATAGGCAGAGACTCCACACACAATTCCTGCACACTTGTGATTCGTATTTGGTCGGCGTTCGATTACTCATACGTTTCAACAATTTTTTTAAAGCTTTTTCGGTTATGAACAATAACAGTGAGAACGCCATTCAGTTTTACTATTTGAAACGACATAAAGATAGCTGATTGTTCACAAGATATTTAGATAGAGCCGTTAGACGACGTATCAATGAATACCTCGCATGCAGATTACTGATGTGAGTCAACTTGCAGAATGTGCAACAAGAAAAGTAAATGATTGTCTAGAGAATAATAGATGAAGGATATGTGCGCACAGCACATTCTTCTTCAGCAGCAGCAGCACTTATAATAATACGGAAAAGTGAATAAAGAAAGAGGAGAGAAACGCAAAGTGTGTTTTCATCCGATGCGATGGAGGGATAAACGATTGGGTAGATGAGTTGGAACAAGCAGTAATAAGAAAGCAAATTGCACACTTCATCCTGGATGGGTCTTGAATGAATATTAAATGATATATGAATATTGCTCACTTATAGCCACTGAATCGATAGCAAACTGAAAATCATGAATACATTATAAAGAATTCTTTCAGCGAAGCTGCTGTTATTCTGCGATTGAATGGGAAAAGAGGAGATAATTTCATTAGTGCTCAACATTGAATTTGTTATCAGATGGAGTGTAGTCGACACTGCTTCTTAAAATGAAATTATTGTCTAGCATAAGAAATTGTGTTCATCAGAATCTTGGACATAAGTGACTGTAACAGTGTACATTTCAACGCAGAAAAACTTAACCATGTCACATTCGAAAATTCGCAACAAAAAATGTATAGCAAATAAATTTTAACACGAATCTAAAAGCGAAATGTTGATTACTTTCACGGCTGAGCAATGATTTGAACCATTTTCCCTCTTCACTAACTCCTAATAACCAGTTTCGCTAGCAAAAAAAAAACGATCCTAAGCGTTGGGATTAGACAGATGATATTTGAAGAAGAAGAAGGTATTACGAAGCTGTGAGATGCTATCATTACTGCATAGCGAGGGCTCATTCATAAAAAAATAATTGAAGTGCAATTTTATGCAACATTTATGTAAACGAATATCGACCCACCTGCCGGTCATTTTCAAATACCAAATACCAATCGATTAGACAAAAACCAAATGAAGATAAATAATTAATGATAATAAATGGCACAGTTAACGCCTGATTAGGAATTTAATCTATGATCTAAATTAGGAATTCGTTTTGCGAAAAAGCATTTCAAATTTCGCTCGAAAATGTTGACCACAAATCGTTTCGTTTTGATTTTTTAGACTTATTCGATAACTGATGTGAAACAAAATTGAGATAATAACGACAAAAGGTTTAAACACACTTTTTTCTACGCGCAGATTTGATCTCCTTTCCTTCAGCTACACAGAAATTTTCGAAGTTTCGAATGACGTTTTTCCTCTCCTCGCTGTGTGAAAATGCTTTACATTTTGTTTTCAACCCGACAATTTTCTCACTAAATGATCACAACAATAATGCCTTTTCACTGCACCAAAAGGAAAAAGGAAATGAAAAAAAGAATAAAGAATTCCAATAAACGCTTAGGGCAAAGAAAAGCTCAAAAATAAAATTCGAAATGAATCTTGTGAAAATCTTTAAAAAGTACGTCAAGAATTATTGAAATAAGATCACATTCACTAATAATAATAACAGTAGTAATAATGATAACAATAATAATAACAATAACAATGACGATGAAAACAAGAATGATAATGATGATTACAATGATAACAATAATAAAATTGCACATCACCAAAAAACATGAGCAGAATCCATAAGTACGTAAGCGAAGTAGAATATGCAAAGCTTGAGCTTCTTTAGCAACGAGAAAAAGAAAACCTTCAGATGATGAGTGCTGCATAGAATCGAGACAAGAATGCGTAGTGAGTGCTCAGCTAAATTGCATTTCAGTTCTATTTTATTTCTGTGTGTGCTGCCACACACTTGCATTCATAGATCCTCAAGTATGTATGCACATCCACATCTACCATACACATTCAACACACCCAACCAACTACTAAAACCATTCAAATAAGGGCGTTCACTTTGTATGCTCAAAATAAGCTTACTTGTTTCATATCTATATGCTATACATAATACATATCTGCCTAACTGTGAACATACACTTTTGATCAATACAGATTTCAAATATTCCACAATACACTTTTATCGTCTTATTTCGTATTCAATTCTTATTTCATATCATGCATTGTATTGACATTGTCTCGAATATCAAATCTCTATCAACGTCAAACTCGTCGCAATTTTGCACATCCGAATCAAACAATCTCATACGCTGTTTTCCATACATTCGTCTTCTGTATCTGCAATTCATTCCAACACTCGATAATATCAATTCATTTGCTCATATTTCTTTACACATCAACGCAACTGTACATAAATGAGCAAATATCAACTTTCAAACAAAAAACGCCTTTAGCTATTATTTGTAATGTANATCAGAGCGATGCAAAACGAATGAGTAATTTTGAGAACTCGTGAACTTCTGCGGCTGTTACCGCCTTACGTGCACCATTCGAGCATTTGATAGAAAGTGAAAGCTTCGTGCAATGCAAATCAAATAAACTTCATACATTATCTAATAATCACATTTCGAAAGTCTCGCAATCAAAGTAAAAACCACTTCATCGCAATCAAAAAATTTCGAAAAGTATTTTTCCGTGCAAAATAATTTTCAGTGCTTAGATGGCTTGTTCATTTTCTGATTTCATGCTGAGAACTGTTCATTCTTTCACTTGCTTCGTTATTGTTTCAAAAATTCAATCAATCACCTTCCGCAGTATGCTTGAATACTAGTAAATAACTTCCAATGTCATAAATTTACAGTGATTTAAATATGTGACGTATGGTCGCACATTCACATCAGGGATAAGCTATTAGTAAAAATCTTAGAATGGTTATTAAATTATGAAGATTATATAAGCCATTCACTGAACGATAATGTTGATTAAAATTGACCTACAATGAGATTGCTTTATTAGTTGGTATGAGATATGAACTGAATGATGAGAAAAAATTTTGTTGAATCAAGAAAATAAATGTATTACGTAAGTCAAGCAAAATGAATGAACTCGTAAACCTTTCAAAAAACAGCCGAATAAAAGAAGAGAAAATGACAATGGTTTTGTGCGGAGAGCTTGAGTGCAGGAACGAAATTCAAAACATTTGTTCGTCGAGAGCAATCAAAAACGAATGCGGTGAATTTTATGGGAAGTCATTAATTTATCTACCGTTTCAGATAGTGCAGGGTCAAGCGCTTTCAGATCACGCAAACTTTGATTCATTCAAAAAGGATCATGAATAATAAATATTTGAGCTGAGGAGAAAGAAATGGAAAACCGTGAAATCGAGATATCTGAGAAATGACAGCTGAGAGAAATTTGGAAAAGAAGAATACATGCTTGTATAANGATCGGAATATTGCTAAAATTTGCGGCATTCAAGAATAAAATTTTAGACGATGAGTGCCAGGATTTGAGTTGTAACAATGAAAGAGGCAAACAGTGAACCGAGATCATACTTCGTAGGACTGAAATAACGATAACGATATCCATAAAGATAATACTCTTCGGAAGAAGAACGATATTGATACACCAAAGAAATGTTACAATTTTCAAAAAATATGGTTGCTAAATAACTGAAAACATAAATGAACGAATTTACAAACCTTTGGTGTGATAATTTCATCGAATCGCATTTCACGATATTTGATTGTAAGTCAATACATT